GATTACCAGTTGTTGTGCCCTGTTCTTGAATGACATGGATGGCTGGTGAGCACTCATTAGAATAATATCTTCTAATATTTCTCTCATTCTCTCCCATTGACTACCCTTGTGATCCTCAACCTAGCTTGTACAGAAAGAAGCCTCTTCCCTACCTGTGGTGATCTATTGTTTGTAATAAAGCTTGCCTGAAGATCAGAGGACAGAGCCAGCCACAGTTAGCTATAGAGGTCAGGCAGTGGTGGCACACACCTTTAACCCTAGCACTCGGGAAGCGGAGGTAGAGATCCTTCTGGATTTCCCCAAGTTCAAGGCCACACTGGGCTACATGAGATTAAACCAATCTTAAAGGGAAAGAGCCAGGCAATGGTGGCACACACTTTTAATCCCAGCACTCTAGAAGGCTGAGACAGGGAGTGATATGGCTAGGCAGAGAAAGGAATGTAAGATGGGAGGAGACAGGAATTCACTCTCTTGCAAACGCTCTATCAGGCTGTGGAGGTGGTGAGGTAAGAGGTGGTAGCTGTGGCTTGCTCTGTTTCTCTTATCTTTCAGCTTTCACCCTGATATCTGGCTCCGAGTTTTTATTGTAAGACCATCTAGGATTCATGCAACACCTATTTTGCTCTGCTCTTGGGAGAAATACATGCAGGAAATATTCGCCATCCCTGACCACAAAGCTGTCCCCTGACCTCCACAAGTGCACATAGCATACATCTGTAATAATAATCCTACGACTACCAACAATAATAAAATGTAAACCAGGTGTGGTGGTGCAGGCCTGTAATCTAAGTACTCCGGGGTAGAGACAGAAGAATCAGGGGTTCAAGCCCGTCTTCCACTAACCAGCAAATTCAAGATCAATCCAGCCACATCTTACTGAGGAGTCAGGTTTGGTTCCCAGAACCCATATGGCAGCTCACAACTGCTGTAACTCCAGCCCAGGAGTTAGGATTTCCTCTTCAGGCCTCTTGAAGGCACTGCATTCAGCATGGTGCTCATGCGTTCAGGCAAACACTCACTCACACATTTTTTAAAAAGTGCTGCTTTTGGCCGGGCGTTGGTGGCACACGCCTTTAATCCCAGCACTCGGGAGGCAGAGCCAGGCGGATCTCTGTGAGTTCGAGGCCAGCCTGGGCTACCAAGTGAGCTCCAGGAAAGGCGCAAAGCTACACAGAGAAACCCTGTCTCGAAAAAACAAAAAAAAAAAAAAAAAAAAAGTGCTACTTTAAGGATAGTGGAAGGAGGAGAAAGGGAGTGGCCGGAAACGCAGGAGGGGAATGATGGAGAGTTGGAGCGGCTTCAATCCGAGTTCCAGGAATCCGAGAATCTGAAGTGTGAAGCCAGCCTTTGCCACACAGCTTGAGGCCACGCTGGACAACTCTGTGAGACGCCATCTCAAGACTTCGAAAGGAGCAGGGGTTGTAGCTAACATGTAAAGTACTTGTCCAGCATTCACAATCCCTGGGCAAAACCCACAAACAAGCTGAACATGAATAAAGTTCAGAATTAAGTACACAAATCAGAAATTTAGTGTGTAAAGACTAGTATCAGAAAGCAGTGAGGAAAAAAAGTTCTACATGTAATTAGAATAAAGCACTGTACCAAATGTGGAAACAAAATTGTAAAGAGACTAGAAAAAGGTTCAGCATGAATGGTAACACTCTTATAGCGATGATCGAAAATGCAGAAGCAATAAGGAGAAAAAACAGAAATATTAACTTACCGTGAGGGTGAGGGGTGAGGCTGACAACATTTAGAGACAATGAAGTAAGGCCTGAGTATAAAAGGACCTGGGGTGTGCCTCAGTGGCACCGATTGCCTAGCATCCTCAAGAAAAAGGAGCGGGGGCTGGGGCTGGAGCGGGGGAGTGGACAGGATCAGTTCAGGTGCATATAAAGTCTGATATTTACGTCTAGACAGGAAGAGAAAAGATGCCTGAAAGCAGCAAATTGCTGACAACGAAGAACCCAAGTGAGAAAAGGAGATTGTCAGGAGTGGGATTCGAACCCACGCCTCCAGGGGAGACTGCGACCTGAACGCAGCGCCTTAGACCGCTCGGCCATCCTGACTACACCCTGGAACGTGCAGCAGCCCACTTGGCAGGGAAAACTGGAACGCGCTCGCTCATCCTTCGGTGATTGGATCCGGCAGCAGGGACACCTGGACTCCAGATCGAAGCTGCGGAGCTCTCCACCGAAAAGAAGCAACCGCAGTCTACTCAGGTGGGCACGATGCTCCAAGCCCCCGGGTCTCTGGTCGTCCCCCCAGCTGGGTCGCGTCCCAGTGTAGGAACCAGCGCAGCAACAATGCATGCCTGCCAGCCGGAGCCTCTTCTCCGGAGAAGAAGGCAGAGGACAACTACTGGGTGAATGCCCGCGGGTTCGGGTCCTGGTGCGAGGGCCGTTGTTGGCGGCGTCCCGGGAACTTTGGGTTTGTGTGCGGAGGTCGGCCGTGGTGGGCGGGAGAGCTCAGGGCCTGTCTGGAGCGACGGAGAGGGCCCGGCGTGGCGATGACGACGTCGTCGTGGTCCTCCCCGTTAGTATAGTGGTGAGTATCCCCGCCTGTCACGCGGGAGACCGGGGTTCGATTCCCCGACGAGGAGACGCGTTATTTACTTTTTTTAGCCAAACGTGCGGCCTCGGGCGCGCTGGCCCTCGGGGCATGCGACTCTCGTGTCCTGAGCCCCCCCTGCGCCAGGCGAGTCTTGGTGGTGACCCGGCCCGAGCGCTCCCGGACGCTCGCTCTTCCCCGTGGCCCTGGCGGCGCGCTGGGTTGCTGCTGCAGTCAGGTGGCGAGAGCGTCCACCAGGGCCCGGCGCGTGCGTGCGGGAGGCGCGGCTGGGACGGCGGTGGCTCGCGCGCTGCGTTGACTTTGACGTCGGGGCGGTGCCCGAGGGGTAGGCCACGTCGCTGTCGCCGCTGTGCACTGTCCGGTGTCAGTCCCCGGCGTCGTGTGGGTGCCGTCCCGGCGGTGCGGCGTTGGTGGTATAGTGGTGAGCATAGCTGCCTTCCAAGCAGTTGACCCGGGTTCGATTCCCGGCCAACGCAAGCTGCCGGTGTTTTGCCAAGGGCCAGGGCCGAGGCTGGCCCTGTCTGGCAACCCTTTCAGGTCGTCCGGTGACCGCGCGACCGACCGATCGCTGGACTAAGCGAAGGAAGGGAGGAGACAGGGGGGCCGAGACACTTTTGAGGATGTGGGGAGCGGAGAATTGCCAGCGTCATCAAGAACTAACTGGCTATGAAGCAGTCGAATCTATCAATAGTAATGAACGTCTAATCACAGCTAGGACTTATTAAGGAAAGCGTGTTACTACCACTCCCTGGTGGTCTAGTGGTTAGGATTCGGCGCTCTCACCGCCGCGGCCCGGGTTCGATTCCCGGTCAGGGAAGTGTTCCTTTTAACTATGTAACTGCCGTTTCTTTGTATCCATTATAGAAAGTTTTCCTTTTCCTCAAAGACTTCTCATTGTCCTCATGCTATTCAACACCACCTCACCATGCACCACCATACATTTCTGTTCGCCTCTGCACTCCTGTCCCTTCTAACCCACTTACCCTCAGTGCTCATCCGGTTTCCGAACCCCAGAAATTTACAATTTGCACATCTCAGTTTTTCTGCTTCTCTTGGTGCTCAGTCGACACATCGCCACCATCACACGCGGCACACACACGCCACGCAGAGCGCCCAGGATCACCTGACGACATCACGGGCTCTTAGTTCTGCAAAGAATCTCTCTAGACTGCCTCACCTGCTCCTGGTGAGCTTTCCATCATCCTCTTGGATACTGCAACGCAAAGCCTATCCTTGGACAGGCAGATGGTTGATTTGAGTCTTCTGGGCTCTTGATCCTTAAACGTGCAAAACTTCTGCAAAACTCCAGGCGATCTCGGTGATGGTAATACAGAGAGGGCTGAAAACATAGCGTGTGATAACAGTACCCAGCTGCCCAGGACGGACTTTTCCCAAGATCATTTCATCATTTGAACATTTAAGCCCATCAGGTGTGACATCCTCAGTGTCTCTAATTAGGAACCTCTGAGTAAGTGGTGGGAACTATGGCTAGAATGTCAGAAGTCTTTGCTGAATTTTCCCTTAGTAGAAGAGAACTCCAAATGATGAATAGTGTGGCTTGGGGACACTTAAAAGCCAGAGACAATTACATCCATTACTAAAACCTTTTCTTTTCTTTTGGTTTTTGGTGACAGGGTTTCTCTGTGTAACAGTCCTGGCTGTCTTGGAACTTGGTTTGTAGACCAGGCCGGCCCCAAACTCACTGAGATCCACCTACCTCTGTCTCCTAAGTGCTGAGATTAAAGGCGTCCAACACCCCCTACCCCCACGGCAGATTTATTTACTTATACAGTGTTCTATCTGCATATATGCCTGCAGGCCAGAGAAGGTGCTAGATCTCATTATAGATGGTTGTGATCCACCATGTTGCTGGGAACTCAGGACCTCTGTAAGAGCAGCCAGTGCTCTTAACCTCTGAGCCATCTCGCCAGCCCCCCATAAATACAACTTTTTAAAAAAGCCTCTTTTTATTTATTCTTTGAGAATCCTTTTAGTGAATTCTAAATATAGTTAAGTTGACAACCAAGAATAGCCCTCACAACATTCTGTCATATTTTATTATATAATATATAGTTATATTATATATAATGTGAATCAAAATAGATATTCACACATCTATTACTTGGCTAGTATTGGTCTCCACTATTACTCTCTCTTATTCCCACACCCGCTCATTGTGAAGTCCTGGCTGGCTTCAAGCTTGAGGCAATTATCCTGCCCCTTGCTTCTTGTCTCTTAAGTGCTGGCTACCATGTTCCGCTAACTCCATTATTTTTTCACAGCAGACATTAAAACCAGGGAAAATAAAAAAGATTGATTTGGGGCCAATTTGGAAGGACTTCGGGACAGCCAAAGCACAGCCTCTAACCGACATCACATGGATCAACTGTAGAAATGCACAAAACCCCGACACATTTCACACAGCACAGGGCCCTTCATAAGAAAACGGGGACCCAGAGGAGCAGTGTAGCCAGACAGAAGTACTGCAAGAAGGACTTTTCTCTTCCCTGGTGTGATTTGTAATAGTCTTGTTCCACATTTTCCATCAACGAAACCTCCACCTACGGCTGACCCAAGAGGCAGCCGATGCACCAGAGACACAAACAGCCTCTCCCAAATATGCAGGCACCTCTAACAGCTGCTCGAACATACTCAAAAAGGGGGCACCACAGCCCACATCTGCAATCCCAGCACTTGGGATGCAGAGGCAGTAGGATCAGGAGGTTCAAGGCCATCTTTGGCTACCTGTCAAGTTGGAGGTCAGCCTAGATTGCATGAGACCTCATCTCAGAAAAAGTAACAAACAAGCAAACAAAAATATTCAAACTAGTCCTGCAAAGTTTTCCCAGAGTGCACTATGTAAACATATTCATTATGCCTTCCTGGTGGTCTAGTGGTTCATTACAGTCACCACCCTGGCCTGGTTTTAATTCTTGGTTAGGAAATCTTGCTTTTACATCTAGTCAATATGACAACTGTCGGACAATCCTCTGCTCTGCTTGTCAAAGCCTGGTCCACCTTTCAAACATCCTGAAGAGCACGCCGGCTATGGGTGAAGCTCACTGAGGACCTGTCACTGTTGCCGTGGACCTTGGTGATCTCAGAGCCCACTTTTGCTGAACTCATTTTAGTTCATTCCACATATAAAGTTTATTATGGACAGGAATGTGTCCTCATTCCTCTGCCGCCCCACCCGATCAAATGGATTGAGAATGACTCCATTCCTAAAATATGTAAAGAAGTCAAGTGTCCTGATTGGGCTCCCTAATTGGGCTCCCTGAGAAGAACCATCCGAGTGGAGACAGCAGGGGAACAGGTGACATTACCTGTGCAGTCCAAACCTCTGGACGACACCTGCTCTTGGGGGCCCAATGAGTAAATACACAAAAGGAAGGCAGTGAGGGAAGGAGGACCTCTATCCCAGTAACACTAGGCATGTTAATCCAGTCTTTCTATATGAATTCTTTTTTCTTTTTCTGTTTGTTCGTTTATCAAGACAGGGTTTCTCTGTGTAGCTCTGGCTGTCCTGGAACTTGTTCTGTAGAAAGATCTGCCTGTCTCTGCCTGCTGGGTGCTGAGATTAAAGGTATGCACTACCACCCCCTGCCTCTATGTTGATTTCTAAAGTATAAATGTTCCCAGCAAAGTGGGTTAAAAATGAGTTTGAACAAAATTCCCTGACTGGAAATGAAACCCAGCCCCCAGAGTTGAAAGCACCCAAGTCTAGCTACTAGACCATCAGGGATAGCTGTTCCCCCTCTATACCCATCATGTTCTGACAAAAGCTCATGACCAGTTGGGTATGGTGGTGGATACCTTTAATTCCAAACAGGCAGGTCCACCTTGAACTCATAGAGGTCCACTGGCCTCTTCCTCCTGAGTAAAGACTTGGCAAAGGAGCCTGACCTCTTGTTTGTTTTTTTGAAAGGGTTTGGCTTATAGACTGGCCACAAACCTCACCTTTTCTTGCCTTAGAATTCCTGAGTGCTAAGATTACAAATGTGTTCTACTATGGGCTGGCTTGAGCTAATTTTTAAAAGTATTTACATTGTAAAATCACCTCCTGGGAGGCAAAGGCAGGCATAGTCTATATATCAAGTTCCAGGGCAGCCAGGGCAACATGGAGGGATCCTGCTTCAAAACAAAACACAAAGGTAGGTCAGGATAACAACTGGGAAATAGAGAACACTTTGTAGGCATTAAATGCTGTAATTACATAATACAGATAACAGGTAAAATTCAAATTATTTAAGCACCAAGTCCGACGTTGGAGCTTGCACCCAAGTGTGAAGAGCCTGTAAATTGGAGGGAGACCTTAGTGCTGAGTACCGACTCAACCGAAGATTGATGGTTAAAAAACAAAAACAAAAAACAAAACAAACAAACAAACAACTAGGGGAATGGGCAGGCCTCTGCGAAACCGACCCAGAGGGAAACCCTGTAAAGCGGCCAGTGGGATGCAGCTGTGCAGTGGTTAAGTTCTAATGCCAAGAATGTCATCAAAGAGTATTTCAAATGCCAGAAATGAAGAAATATACATTTTGATTCATTAAAAAAAAAAAAGAGAGCTAAACTAAAAAGTCTGAAAATGTTTTCTGCTTAGGTTCAGGACAAACGTAAGATGTATTTTCATTGTTTCTGGCCTGGGCTAGCGGCGTCCTTCATGCCAAGGCCCTCACCTAAGTGGCTTTCTGCCTGATGTCTGCTCCATTTTTCTCTAATCCCGCGGCACAGCAGATGCTGGGCGCCAGGGGGTGTCCTAGACTCATGAGCCAGGCATTTGGATCTGGAAAACTATGGGTGTTTACCAACGCCTGGAGCTCTTCCTCCAAGATTAAGGCCTCGGGGTCCTGGCCTTAATCTTGCTGGCCGTTTTCTTCGGCGGTACCATCGTACCTCCACGGGTGAAAGTCATCTAACTTCAGAGTGGAACCTGCCTGATTGGGCTGAATTTAAGAGAGAGCCCGAAAACAATAAGGTCACTCCAAATGTAAGTTGCTTATAAGAAGCCAGTGAGCAGCTAGTTTCCGTAGTGTAGTGGTTATCACGTTCGCCTCACACGCGAAAGGTCCCCGGTTCGAAACCGGGCGGAAACAACAGCATTGTATTTTTCATTTTCGTCTTTACATCCTTATAGAAGGATCGAAAGAATTTAAAGTGAGAACCCACTAAAGGATCCAACCAATCCACAGTGGAATCCCACGTCTCCTGGTTCCTACAAGGCCTGGAACATCGCAGTTACGATTACGCGAGCGAGGGCAGAGTGGTGGCCATGAACCGCTCCTCCCAGGGCAGTGACGCTTAGAGTGGATTTTGTTTCTGCAGCGAGAGACCGGCAGGTTCTTGTGTTGCCCTTCAGCTTCTGGATCGCGTCTTCCAGAAGGCACTGTGGACACCCTGAGAGCCAGAAACGGCTGCTCAGTGCGCGGGTGGAGTCGTCAGCTCTGACTTCTGCCCCCGGAAGGGCTCTGATCTCTTCAGCGGGCATTGCCTCATGCCTCCTCCTCCAGTGCTGATAACCTGTACTGAGATCCAAACCCCCTCCCCGGGATCTTTTTTAAATCTCGCTTTATGATGCGGTATCACTAACCTTCATGTAGCAGAGACGCTCCCATCTCTGTTATTTACACCTGCCTCTGCTGTGCGTGGTTTAAGATGTCACCGTCCAGTCCTTGGACTTGAAAATTATTCTTCCTCTCTCCCTCTCTACAGTCTCTTTCCACGAGGAATCTTAAGGTCCTTGACTTTTAAATCGGTTTGAAAGAATATATTTTATTTTCATTAAAAATTATTTTCTAGGGTCAGAAGGAAAATAATTGGGTCAGCTGTGGAGAGGTCTTGCGGAGGACGCAGGTGGGCCACAATCACCCGGAACTCCGGTTCCTGAGGACTTGACACCTCCGTCCTGCAGGTGGGTGGTATACATACACACACAGGAAAATAAGTTTAAGGAGCTGAGCCGTGGTGTCGCACGCCCTTAATCCCAGGACTCGGGAGACAGAGGTAGGCGGACCTCTGAGTTCTAGAGTGAGTTCCAGGACAGCCACGACTACACAGAGAAACTCTATCTCAAAATAATTACAATGTTTATGGCAAAAATAATCCCCATGGCTAGAGAGAGATGGCAGTCAATAACGTGCTTGCTTGTAGGCCTGAAAACCCGCGTTCGGATTCCCAGCACTCACTAAGAAAGCCAGAACTGACAGCTCGGAGCTCCCGCATGTCGGCTTCAGCAAGCATCCGGGTGACTCTGTGCTGCATGCTCTTTGTTCTTCCTTTGGAACTCCGACTTTGGACTGGGAACTCTGGCTGCCTCAATCAGACTTCTCTAGTCCCATTTATTTATTT